TATTTCCCACTATCCAGAGATGACTTCAGAGTCGTAGTACAAACACACGGTGTCATGAAAAAATAAACTAGAGGGTTTGTTTTTGTTTTTGTTTTTGTTTTGTTTTAAGAACAGCAAATTGCTTTTGCCTGCTGTTTGAGTTTCTCTTGACCCACTGCTTGATATACCTTAGGTCCATTCCATGTATTTGAGCCCTTGCTACAATGCAAGAGCTAGACTTTCAGACAGGTTTGTACCTGATATTATTGGAAATGATAGTCACCAAAACAAGTCCGTCAGTCCACAGTTCTCTGTTATAAACCCCATCATCTCACCTGAGAATGAAAGTCATATTTTGGATATGACTACTTCCCTCACACATGCCTAAACACCTGGAAACTCTTTTATGCTCTTCAGTTTTGAAAAGCCCAAGTGTGTGCCTATATTGGTTAATAAGCTGCAAAACAGCTCAGGGGTGGTGCAATGAGAGATGGGAGACTTTGGAAGTTGGTCACAATGGTGGACACCCATCCATCACAGCACTGCCCGGAAACACACAGTCTAGTCTGCTAATGTGTACACCAGGCTCCACAAAGCTTCCTGTTCCACCTTCTCCTGAGGCCGCATTGTTAAAGAATTGACTTTCATAATCTGTTTTTAAGAATCAATATTTCTTTTCCTATTTCCCTCTGCTCAGATATAATGTGACTTGAACTAGGAGTCTTTGTGCTTTGGGAAAATATCCAGTCACCCTTCCTCCACATGGCACACTATTTTCCCTTCCGCTGGACAGAGACACAGTTGCCAGAGCTGTCACTCTGGGAGGCCCACATTCTCCTGTGTCCCATCTTCGGGGAGAGCAACTTCGCTGTGATCTCAGCTGAACTCCATTTGCTGTAATAGCCAAATGTCCCAATTACTCTCGGCTCTCTCAGAAAGTTATTTTTAGGAGAAGGTAGGATTCTGCAGGTAAGTAAGACCTATTCCAAATATTTACATCTTCTACTTAAAGAAATACTGATGAAATACAGAGGGTGTCCCACTGTATGTAATTAGTAAGGTAATAATAACAGTCACGAGGGTGTTTTTGTGAGGTATTCTTGCTCTAATTTCTCCTCAGGGGAGGGAACACACACTTGAAAATATCCATATTGAGTGGCCAGGTGACAGTTGCTCGTAGCCACCCACGTTAGATGGGCTGAGATTTAATAAGGCAAGCAATCAGAGGTGAGATTGCATGGCTAAAGGGCCATGTCTGTCCAGAATAATCAATGATTCTGACTAAGGCACACACCAGAAAAAAAACTGTCACGTTTAGAACTTCAAGTAATAAAATCTATTACAGTCAAATACAAGCTCTCATCTCTTAAAACTGCACACAATTTGCATATAGAGTTTTTTTTGTGAATGTATGTATTTAAGAATGGTGAAAATTTCATTAAAAACATGAAGTATGCAATCAATTTGGGAATGAATATCACAATATTTTAAAGAGATTTTTCCTTCGTAGGGCAACTCAAATATATCTTAACTTTCTTTCCTCTAATTATAAGCCAGACTCCCCATTGAAAAGCAGTATGTTATGAAATAATTTGCATTTGAGTCAGGTATAGGGTTGATTTGGAGGCCTTATCTATTTGTTTCCTGGAGGATTTCCCTTCAGGCAAACCAGACAGAAGCAGCAACAATAATCTTATTTACAAGGAGGACAGGAGGGCAGAGGGTTGGAGGCCCCAAGGGCTGGAGCTCAATAAGGTCCCTGTCACTCTGAGACGGAGGGGTTGCCCCTGCCCAGGTGAAAAATGACCAAGCACACTCTGTGACTGGTGACAATACTGTTTGGGGGGCTAATTGATGTCCTTCTGTTCCAAGTGACTAATGTTCTTCTTGCAGTGGCGACAGTAATGTCATCAAAAGGGAAAATAAGTGGCTAGCTAGCAAGAAATAGAGAGAAGGAAGCCCCACTGCCACTCCTGGGATTTCTGCTTTGCCTTGCAGGAAGGAAAACTTCTTTGTATACGTGTGGTGTTCTGTAAGAATGCCTTTGAATTAGCGTAACTACCAAAAGACTGGCTAAGTTTTGGCATTGTGGCTGGATACCGCGAATCTGCTGAAATGGATGTAAATTGCAGCGCAGGTCCACCAAGAAGGATGAATCCTCTTAGCACGAAGGCCCTGATGAAATGTCCTGACTAACAGGACTGTGTGTCACTGGACGCATTATACCAGCTTACATCTCTTGCTGCTGTCCCATTCAGCCCTTGTTTCTCTTCCTGCCGTTTCCTAGCACGCCCATACCCATCTCCCCCCCTTCCAAGGCTGGCCTGCTCATTCTTCATCCCTCTGTGCCAGCATCACCCTTGCCTACTCCTGTTGCTCTTATTGTGTCTTAGACGGTGCTCCATTGAAGTGGTCTTATTAAAGTGGTCTCCTTTTTACCAGATATCAAGCAATTTGATGCTTTACCATGGTAGATCATAAACATTGCTTGGATTAAATAAGATAAATGCACAGCTCTTTTAATGGAACCTGACCGGCTCGTCACTCAGTAATCTGGTAAAGCCAAGAACACGTCAAGGTATGGCATATACTAGTCGCAGGTAATTGTCAAATAGGAATGATAATAGTTCATAGGGTGACTGAGAGGACGAAATGAGATCATGCATGTTTTAAGTAATGAGCTCAATTTTACCCACTGTTACCAGCGCCAGATACAAGGTAGGTTCCTAAGTTGTTTATGTGGTTACCACAGTCCTAAGGAGTTACATTTCATTGGCTAGCATAGACTACGTTTTCTAGATACTAGCGTACAGTTCAAAATTGAACCTTCATTTCTTTAAGTGAATTGAAGTGAAACGGTCCTGCCGTAAAGGAAGACTGGAAACGCATCTCCTCTAGGCGGGAGCGGGATGTGCTGTAGTGGTAAATTAAACTTGCCTTCAGCTGCCTTGTCTCCTCACCGAGGTGAGCAATGCTTGTGTTAGGTAGGCAACAAAGAGCACAGATTTAATCTATTTGACACCCAGAATAGGTTTAATAAAGCTTGTGAATTGTTGTTTGAAAAATGAAGGAAAGAAACTCCTAATAACTGGCTAGACTCACTCACCACTCTTTAGCTGCTGGTTTGCTGCAAGTTGGTGTGGATAAGGGATCCAAAATTTAGAGCCCAAGGGCATAGGTCTCCACTCAGGAAACGCAGCTTCCTACCAATACGTGTTACTGGACTTCTTTAAGCCTCTAAAAGTACCCAAAAAAAAAAAAAACAGAACTTTGATGACTTTACTTACTGATAGTTAATCTTGATTGTGAATTTGACAGGATTTAGAACCACGTGAGAGCAAACCTCTGGACATTTGCACGTGGGGATTTCTGGGTCCTTCAAGGTTGGGAGAGCTATCCTAAATGTGGGTGGTACCACAGCATGGTAGGGACCGAATAAGGAGGCAGCATGCTGGCTGAAGACCCATGTTCACCATTCTTTGCCTCTTGACTGTGGGTGCTATGTGGCCAGCTACCTCACTCTCTTGCCACCGTGGTTTCCCCTCGATGATGAACGGTACACCTGACCTGGGAGGCAAAAGAAAACTCTCCTTTCTTTGATTGCTTTGGTCAAGCATTTGATTATAGCAACAAGGTAAGTTGCTCTCTAGTGCACCCGGCATGCTGCTATGCACAAGTGTTTTCCATCCTGTGAGATGTGAGAATTTTAATAAATACATATGTAAAGCTTTAGCTAAAATTGTGTCCGTGATGGAAACACTGCTGTAAACAAAGTAACATGGGCTTTGTTATCAAAGGAACCTTGATTCGAACCTTAGCCCTGTGACCCCACTAGGCTTTCTTTTCACCTATACCATGAAGTGGTGGTATGCACATCACAGAGAAGACATGAAGATAACATAATATGTGGAAGTGAAGCCACGGTACCTGCCATTCTGGACATAATAGAACACCGCTGACTCATTTCTGACCATTAGCCAAGAACTGGTGTAAACCTGTGTGGCCGTGCAGGCTTATAACCCCAGCACTTTGGAAGCTGAGACAGGAGGATTGTAGATTTGAATCCAGCCTGGACTATGAAGTGAGAGCCTGTTTCAGAAACAATGAGGAGAGAGAGGAAGACAGGAGGGGAAGGAAGAGAGAGGGAGATGTGTAGAAGTTAATTGAATAGGATAACACAAAAATAATTCCAACATGAATTGGTTCTAATGGACTACATTGGGGTGTCTGTTTCAACACAACCTTCACCATAAATTTCAATACAGGGAACAACACATATGGAGAGGACCAATTGCTTTGAGATTTGGAAATACTCTTTGAAAATACTAAAATACACTCTTCCTTCAAAGTCTCAATAAAAATTATTATTAAGAATAATGTAATGTATTTTTGTCAGAGCATTAAGCTTTCGCATTACGGAAGAGGCAGAATAATTAATTCAGGTTAGTTATTATAAACAAAGATAATCTAGTTCCAAATAGTCACTAGTTTATTTTTTCAAACATTTTAAAGCTTTTCTCAAAATTGATTGCACGCTCGTTTCCAGCAGTTAAACTTCCTTCTAATGCCTTTTTAATACTAATCAAATAGAAATTTGGTTTTCGCACGCTGTTGAAAGACATGCATCCCTTTCATGGCTCCAGGTATATGGTTATGTGTCTTGAAGATTTATGTCTAGGTATGTATGTCAAATTTTAATTTATATATTGCAATTGCTTGCTTCAATAAATTACAAAATCATTAGACTCCTTAATTAAGCCATGCTTTAATGGTACAGTGGCCACCTCTGCCTTACTACTGCAGTGGTAGAATTTTTTGATTTATCTTTCCTGTGTTAATAGATGAATAAATTTATCCAGGACACCCCCATTTTCAAACAAATCCATGGCTTCTTTTGGGGGAACAAATCAGTTTTTCAGTAATCTTAAAATATGACCCCTCCACAATGCTTTACCATTAGACTTTGATACAAGGAAGAATTCAGAGGCCTTTTACGTTTTCCATGATAATCTAGAATTTTTATTTGATTCCAGGTAATTTTAGACAATAGACATGATGAACTGTTTTCTCTTGAATAAATAACAATTAAATTACATCAATGAAATAAAATATACTGTAGGCTTAATACATTGTAGATATTACAGAAGTACTACTTTGCTATAGTAATTTAATGACTGAAGCTACATTTAATAACAATCTTACCAGTACTTGTATACAAAATATTATACAGATTACTGACAAAGACATCACAGCAGTTTCAAGGATGCTACCAGCTTAACAAACATCTAACAGTACAATGCACTTTAAGAGGCAAAGGATGTACCATTTACAGAGACAATAGGGAGATACGTTTTCCACTTGAAACACTGGAAATGAGAATCAAGATAATCTGTATCTCGGTTCCTATTTTTACAAGAAAAGATTTTCTCCCTTGGGGACGCTGATCCCCAGGACCTAGAGTTTAGTAAGTTTCCACAAAGAAAGCTTTTTTTAAGATACCACAGCAATGGAAAGAAACTCTGTCATCTGAAAACCACGGCTTCAACACCTGACTGCTTTGTAAAACCTATGTACATACATTCAGTCCAAATCAGTAGATAGAATTTTTTTTGTATATTACAATAGGTGCATTAACGTTTTATCAGAAGGCCAGCGCCAAGCAACTGTGAATGGCCACTTAGGAGATCTTAAAATATCATACAAATATACAGTTAAGAGGATGAGAAATCTAATTTTTTTTCGCATGACGTTAGTGATCTTGGTTATGGATATGGGATGGCGGAAATTAATGAACGGAACAGTAACCAGAGACCTAGTTCTCATCTGGTAGTTAAGCCTATTTCCTGCAGAGTGGGATTAGGCAACAAAAGTTTTTCTGGCATTTGATACCAGCTAAGCCTGACAGTCAGTATCAGGGAGCTTGGGAGTCACCTGTCACAGGCAAATGTCCAAGCTGCCCAGATTCATGCTTCTTTTACACAGATTTAATACATAGTGGAAAACAGGGGTCCTTGGCGATAGCTTTTCTTGTTTAAATGATGCTATTAGTTCAGGACTCGGTCTTTATTCTGAAGAAGTCCATCAGTTAGGGAGACTACCCCCTTTGAAAGTGAGAGGAAAGGCAGAACGCAGGATCAGGATGAATGTCAGAGGAAAGCAGATAACCCTGATGCCAGAGCATAGAAGCGATTCAATTGAAATTAATGAATCTAATTAAGGGGCTGGTAAATGAATGATTCTAATGAATGTTATTCTAATGACTGTATCCACTAGGGAGAATGTTTTGGTCGCTAGAGTTAGGAAATGATAGAGGAAACACCAAAGTGTATCCAACTAATTTGAAGTATTTTTTTTAAATGAAGGTGGTTTAATGCGCACATGATGATAGTTCACAGATATTTCTTAGAGTATCAATAAGCACCAAGTTTAGTGCTATCAGCCCCATTGTCCCTTAGCTTATTATATATGAGTTAGGTCTTAAAAGTTCAATACACTATAAAATCTACCACTAAAAATGGCATTTGCACGAACACAGTTTTAAAAGTGAATCTTGGAATTTTTTTTAATACCTATACTCAAAATTTCTACCAGGTCTTTGTATCTATGAGAAGAGGCGGTAATGCCTGGTAGCTAGAGACATGAAGATTGATATTCAGGTTGATGTAGGACAAGGCTGGCAATTCCTAGCCCCTGGTGATAAGTCTGTCAATACTCTTCTCTATGGAGTTACTAATCCTCCTGAATCCTCATCTGTGCGCACAGAAGGAAATCAAGAGGCTCAGCAGGCAAATACATCCCAGCCTGGTCCTCAGGTCACATCTGTGTTACTATCGATTACAAGAAGGGGTACTGCCCCTTGAGGCTGGGAACCCCAAACACTAGAAATCACAGGAAGATGCTAGCTCTCTGCTTCATGCTATACCATCTTCAGGACTGGTGAGAATCTGTACAAGGAGGAGAGACTCTAAGTAGAACTTATCAGGACCAAGTGGCTTTTTCAAAGCAATAACTCTCCTTACTGGAAAAGGGCCCAATTCTGAGCACCCCGGCAGAGGAGCCAACCAGAAGCTAGCCACCCTCATCTCTATGCTTTTCGGCAAGTGGAGGCACTGACTATTCCTTATGTAAAAGGCTGACCTAAACAAAGCCAGGCACAGGGCTGTCGCCAGGTTTCTGCTACCCTTCTGCCAGACCACCAACCTTCTCACCCTCTGAAATCAAATGGCCTGGACAACGGCATGCTGTGTGCAGTTCTGCTTAGCCTGGGATCTCACTGCCCGCATGCTCCACTGATGCTTGTTCCTCTTAGGAGTTTTGTAAAGTCTTAGAACCACCTTCCTCTTGTTGATTTTCACTTCCATGAACTTGGCCCTTACTAGGTGCTCACCATCCCCCACACTCGCACGTCCCTGCAAGAATCCTCTACGTTTTTGCCCCTCTTACAGACTGCTCTTTGCAGAAGGCTGGCCTTACGGAACGCCTACAGGTCATTAGAACACTAAACCCAGTCACTTAGGTGGGAAGATTTTCCTGGAAGGCTTTAGTTAGGATTTGTACAGCCACGGTTTCATGAAGAGCTTGGTTTTAGGAACTGGATTCGTGTGCAAGAGTGTAGCAAGTGGTACAGTTCACACTTGGTCGGTTTTCTCGTGTTATGACATTGCTGTAATAGTTACAAGATAGAACACACACACGCACACACACACACATTTACAATCACACTCACATGGTACAATTCCACTGAATCAGACAATACTTCTTCTGAGTTAAAAAGAAGAAGAAGAAGAAGAAGAAGACTGTGTTTTGGCCACCCAGGCCTGAAATCTACTTAAATCTGGAAGGTCACTGTGCAATAGACTTGGTGCAGACAGCAACCGCACAGTAGTGACAGTGTACATCAGCACTGACACATGCTGGCTGAAGAGGTCCGGTGAAAGCTAACAACTCAAGGATGCCAGCGACGTCAGCCTTAAAAAGTCAATACGCTTTCGCTTCTCCATTTTGATTATAATCCATTACCCAGCTCAACAGCTGTGTTCCAGAAGATAGGAAATGTCCTCATGGCAATTCAGGCCTAACACAGTTTACGTCTCCAGGAATTCTGCTCAATACTTTGGATAGTCTTCAAATTCTTCTTGTTGTTTTAACCAAAAAAAAAAAAAAAAAAAGTAACCTTTATGGTTATTTCTGTGTTTTCTTTAGATATGAATACTGGAAGAAATACTAAGGATCCTAAAAGTGTATCACGGACAACCATACCATCTAAACAGGGGTCACGCTGCTACATGCCCATCAAGTATGACATTGTTCTTATGAAGGTCTACCTTCTGGTTTTGCTAAGCTAGACAAAGTGACACTGTAAACACTGATACACAACTCACAGGACATAAAACAGTTTACAAAGTATCTCTACTGTAGCACTGTACCTATTGTAAAAATGTACTTTTTAGTACTATGGACAGACACATACCACATTATCATGAAAGTTGGGGTTACAAAGGCATTACTCATTTTGTGGCGTTTCTCTACAGATACTTAGACTTCAGATTTTGTAGTCTAAGGTTTCCCTTCTATTTCAGAGACTTGGAAGGACTGTTGAGCAACTGAAGCAACAGGCTTTCTTCATTGTAAACCCCTGGAGAATGGGGTTTAAGTACCTAAACTACTAAAATGTCAGCAAACTGAAAAAAAAGCACAGTGACAGTCACTATTTACTAAACATGGTAAACTTTAAAAAAAAAAAATAATAATGTAACCGAGGGGACCACAGACTTCTAAATTTCAAGCTAAAGAGAAAGAAAGAATTTCCTTTTCTGTGCAGCCATGAAAGCAGCAGGCTCACAGAGCCTCGGCAGACGTGTCTGTGGACACAGACATGGTCACCTTGGCGATCTTAACCGTGCTCTTGATGCAGCTTTCCGCCGCCCTGTGCATGCTGGCTGTGTTATTGGCGTGCTTGTGCAGGCAGTCCGAGTCCCCCATGCTGTTATCTAGAGGCTGTGCCGTGCCTTCACACGAAGGGAACATGCTGCGGAAAGCGTGTCTCAGGTCCTTGCTCCTCAGAGCGTAGATGATGGGGTTCACGGTGGAGTTCAGCAGGCAGAGCATGCTACAGAAGGCAAACACCGTCTTGATGAGCTTATTCATCTTCCCAAAGACATCATACACCATGATCGCAAGCAGGGGGCCCCAGCAGATGATCAACACCACCAGAATCAGGACCAGCGTTTTGGCCAGTCTAATGTCCATGCGGGCTTGGTCGGGCCGGGTCACCTGCACCTTGCCATCTTCTGACGTGTGGATGATGATGCTCTTCTGGGTTCCACGTTGGATCATGCGGACTGCATGGCTGTGCGCCTTCCAGAGAATGTACATGTACGCATACACAATGAACAGCAACAGCACGCTGGTGACTCCGATCCAGAACATCAGGTAGGTTTCATCAATGAGTGGGAAGATGTCCGAGCAGACAGATTGCAGCTTCTTGCAGTTCCAGCCAAGGAGAGGCAACACGGCAATTACTATCGCAATAGTCCACATCAGGCAGAAGGCCACTACGGCCTTGGGCCTAGTCACGATCCTCTTATAGGCCAGAGGCCTGTGAATGGATATGTACCTGTCGATGGCTGTGAGGAAGAGGCTACCCACAGAGGCTGTGAAGGAGGCCGTGACCCCACCTAGTTTGAACAGAAACACATTGGGGCTGTCTTTACGGTGGAACACATGGAAGTCAACAAAGCTGTAGACAAAAATGACGCTGCCCAGGAGGTCAGCCACGGCCAGACTGCCAATGAAGTGGTAGGAAGGCCTGCATCGGAGACTGCGGGAATGCAGGATGACACACAGCACCAGCAGGTTCTCCAGAACCGTGAAGGTGCCCAGTGTGAGGGACAGCACAGCAATGGCCAGCTGCTGGCTAGGGTTCAGGATCATAAAGCACTCCATGTCCATAAAGTTCTCTCCACACTGGATGTTTTCCTCATTCTCCTTGTACGAGGAGAGAGACTTGTTGTAGAACTCTGTAATGTTGGTGGCGTCTACCACCGGGACCAACTGGGAGTTGTCTCCTGCGGTCATCTTTTCTTGGAAGGGACTACCCCGGAAGGAAGTCAGAGGGAATTTCTGCGGGAAGTATCCTAGTTTGGATGCCATGTCTCCTTTGATGTCTTCGTACTGAATGTCATTGGAGCCCACGTAGAGGAGGTCTGTGGTGATGGTGCGGAAGGTGGTGTCTGCAAGGCCATCCAGAATGGACTTCATAACCTCAGACTTCGATCAGGCCAGACTCACAGTGATGGAGAAAGGGGTGCCAGGAAGGAACCCTAGTAAGAGGGAAAACAGAGAAGCTGAGTGGTCTGAAAAGCAGGAGGGTAAGAAACAGAAGCACTGGGCACCATAAACCACCGTCACCTCGAAACACAGAGGTTCAGTCAACACAATGAGTCGGCTCAGAGAAGAACTCCCTGCCCTGCAAAAACAAAACAAAAACCACAAGGATATGGAGAGCCACACATCAGACCAGTGATTGTTCTCATTTCTTAGCAAAGTCAGTTGTTGCTGCATGAACCTGCACAGTCAAATAAACCAAGCTCAATGAAAGAAACTTCACTGCTCATGTCATGGGAAGCGTTGGCCAGGAGGCTTCTACTATCAAGTATACAGCCATCTGTGGGGAAGTGGCTGGAGGCAGCAAGCTTACAGCACAAAATCCCTGCCCCGTGATGTACCCTGAAGGACAGGTGAGACTAAACAGGCAAGACAAGCAAAGAACACGACAGCACAGAATCAAGGGTTGAGCTGTGTAGTTTAACTGTAAAGGAGGATGTTTAGGACAGCCAGAGAGAGCTCCAGACCACAGTGGAAAGATGCTCTCCAGCAGGCATGATTCCTCGCCCAGAGCAAGGGAGATTGGGACCAAGGCATGGCTGATATGAACTTATAAAGATGTCTACGCCAATCAGTTAAATGTCACAAAGGTTTGCATCAAGGCTTATGGAATCCCAGGGTTAACACAAGGAAGGTGGTGGTGATAAATGGTCCTTCAGGAAAGCACCCCTCGGTGTGCTGACACAAGGGACTGGAGACAGCCCTGGTGGTGCCTGGTGATTTCCTAGAAGACTGTGCTGGAAATGGGGATGACTAATACAGTGTGCCCTTCACCTCTACGTTAAGCAATCTGGTGTTATTTTCAACATAAATAGCAAGAGAACTGATCTCGCTGTTTATAAATATTTAAAAGATGGCTATTTATCTCTTTAGTTTATAAAAATTGCTACAAATACGGGATGATACACATGACAATTAAATAACCACAAATTTCAACATTTTACTTATCAATTGCCCTTTGTTGTTTCACGTATAACACATATGACAAAGCCATTATCTCCTGAAACAAAATTTAAAACCTGTCTTTGTGTTAAAAATACAGAGAGCCTATTTGTCACAATAGCTAAGTTATTAATGCACAATCCATTCCATAAATGATAGCGCACCATGGCACACCATGCACTGTGCCAGACACTTACAGATCAAGCCCACGGGGACCCTGACATCTAGCAGGGCAGATGGCCAGCTACCTCAGCACCTACTGGCAAGGGTGGCTGCCCTGCAGATGGCAGAGCTCTGGAGCATCAGCTCAGCACAGCAAAAGGGACTTCCCCAAGGAAGTCATATGCATATGCTGAGCATCTAGGATGAGTGTGGGAGGGGACAGGATGCCAAGACGAGGACTTTTAAAATTAATATCCTGGGTTTCACGATTTTTCAAAAGCAACTTGGGGTAGGCATGAAGTGGCGGATGTGGCCCTCGTTCCACACTCGGCTGCCTCCAAATCCAAGCCTTACCACTGCTTACCAGGGTCAGGGATCACAAGCCTCCGCCCCCCGGGTGTAGCTTTCCTAATCCCAGCACTGATGCTACACAGCTGCTGGAGGGATCTTCAGAAACAGATGAAGGTTCTTTGACTCTCATTTCAACCACTCTGCCCCAAAGACCAAACACAGCCTCAACCCAAGCTCCCCTTCCAGGCTCACACAACCCAGACGAGCTTCTGGACTCCCTGAGAACATTCCACCTCTGTCCACCATCCATCGGCATGCTTCCTGGGTGAAGCTCAGCACAAAACCTTCCGTGATCCAACCCTTGTCCTTCCGCCCTGCCTCTCCTCAGCTTGGTCTCCCCATTTGGGCTGTACCACACAGAGTTTGGTCACACAAACACCAGCTCACTTGCTCCGTGCTGTGGTTTTCACCGTCCCAAATTCTCTGCCGGAACACTCTTTACCTCCGCTTGTGGGAGACTCCTTACCCTTACCAATTTGCTGTTTCTGATTCCCTTAGCTCACTGATTCCCATACTCAGATGAAGCCCATCTTTGGGGCTTCCAGAATAATGAGACAGTTCCATCAACAGCATTTACCTGTTTCTAGTCTGCTTCTTGTTGCTAAGCTCCAGAGAAAGCTCAATGAGGACCACACTGGGCAACTTATCTGTCTTAGTATTTAACTCGTAACTCAATGCACAGCACACAGAGAGCAGCTTAAAATTGAGTTGTCTGACTGATTTTATTTTCTTCAAATAGAGTCAGAGCAGCTCTTTTCTGCCTAAAATAAGTGAAGGAATCTCTCCAGTGAAACAGGAAAGGCACACACATGTCACCAGAATCAAGATTTCTTGCCTAATAAGCCAATCTACATGTGCTCAAAATAGAGTTCTGTTTTGGTGGGGGATATCAGTGTTCTAATTGCGTGTGTGTGTGCATGTGTGTGTGTGTGCGCACACGCACGCACACACACACACTTACCACCTCTTTTCTTTTTCAGAAAACGTTTGCATGTGCTGTATAGCTTGCCATTTATAAGTGCACACCAGAAAGGTCTGGTAGATGAATGTGACCAGCCCCCTAGTGACAGGAGGCTTGGAGGTTTTACCGTCTTTTGTTACTGCAGATAATGTCGAAATGAATTAATGCCAACCACCACTTTCTTTTTCACATTATTTAGGCTATTGTGAGCAATCTTTCTAGTCATCTTAACTCTCACCTTGGAATCATTTGATACCACCTCCTTCTTGGCCTCTATAATCAGGTGTACCTCTTAAGGTTCCCTAAACCCCCCCCCCCCATTTCTAAGCACACAGAAAAAGCTTATTATGGGCAGGAGGCTTTTACATGTATCAACTCATTTTATTTCTACAATGGCTTATGAGGCAATTTTTTTTTGCATGAAAGGCACAGAGAAGGTAAATAACATACCATTAACGCATCTAGTAGGTGGTAGGGCTGGGGCTGAGCCTGGGTGTGGAGCTCAGTACAAGTGCTGAAAGTAACCAAAAGAGGCACACTGGATGCTGTGAGTCTAGGGTTCCTGCTTTTAACCATCATGGGACACTATCTAAGCCAAGACAGGGATCGATTGCCCCTCAGTTTCCCTACTGATTCCAACCAGCAAAGCCCTAGTCTATGCAGAGAACACTGCTGTAGGAATTGCCAGATGGGGGGGGGGGCGTTAAGTCATCCACCCTCAAGCAGTGGTTCTAGGCCTTAGTGTTCCATCTACAAGCTAAGGATAACAAGGACGATAATGAAGCCTAAATCACGGATCTGCTCTGAAAACTGGCTCCAGATAAATCCTACTTCGGCCTGGCACTAAATAAGTCTTCAGTAAACATCACTGTCCTCACCGCTCAGTGCCACTGATGGCCCAGCACCATATACTTCAGTCTAACTGCATTTCAAGAATATATAATATATACTAATTACTACATTATATACTAATTATATTTCAAGAAAATGCATTATCTTAATTCACTTACAGGCTGCTTATTCGGCTGTATCGGAACCTCAGCACGAGGCAGAGGGAAGATGCCAAGACGCCGAGGAGGAGCTCTGATGGCATGCCAACTGCACTGAGGCACTGAGGGGCTTTACCTACATTCTGTCAGTAAACCAGTGCAGGGGCTTCCAGGCACGCAATTCTTACCTGACTCGCCAGGCAAGAAGGGGGCAGCTAGATACTTAGTCAATTGTCCAGAACACAAATGGGAACCCTTGTCCCAAGGACTCCAGAATCTCCACTGTAACATCATGTCTGTTTTAAGGTTTAACAGGAAACTAAATTAAAGCCATTTTGCATTTTATATTCAGATCTTATCTGTTTAAACTGCCAATGAAGGCATTGCAATGGTGATTAATGACAGCTCCTAATAAATCACCATTTCCTGCCCCAGACCCACCAGATATATCTGCCCACTGGCACGACACCAAGGATTGAAACTGTAGCCAGCATTGGAGAGAATCAAGACTTCTCAGGGATGGGCAAGGGATGTGAGCTAGAAAAATGCCCTGTGATTTACTGTATTTATGATGGCAATACAGCCAAACACCTTCATTCTGGCAACGGTGTGTCATATCTAGGCCAGAGATTGGTGGTTACAAGCTGTCATGCCTGTCTAATATACGTCAGAGAAGAGTTTAAAATAAATGAACTTTGTAAATTTTAGAACGCAAAACACCACTGTGTATAGGCTATTGCATACTATTGACGAGTAACACTGGTTGTTGTTTTTCTTTTCTTTTCTTCTGCCCTTTTTTTTTTTTTGCACCTTTAGAAGTCTTTTCTTCATTTCTGCATTTGGATTATTACAGTAATTTCCACCTTATTATTTTTGCATGGAGAGTTTTCTTGGAGGGTTCATTAGTAATATAGTTTAGACTTTGGGGGGTGAAGCTGCCGTTAATTTTGTTTTTGTTTGCTAATGGGAAAATCATAATTGGAAATTCTAACAAGATGTGTAGATGTGCCTATTAAAGAAGCAGTTGGGGCTTATTACAGTGATAGTGAAGGAACTGAATGACAGCTAAAGTTTCCTAACAACTTAATATAGAAATCATGCCTTTATAGTAACAGTAATAAAAATGTTTAAGTGTGCTGAATCTATTATTTTAGGAAAACCTCCTTCAGTTCTTAGGTTAGTCCCATCTGTTCTTGTCCCTTCTCTGAGCATACACCTGCGCCTCTTCTCCCTCCTCCCCCAGAAAAAAAAAAATTATCAACACGCAGTGGTAGCGGTAAAAGAATTTTATGAGGATGGTCATGGCATAGAGTCTTTTAAAAATGGTGGCGCACGCCTTTAATCCCAGCACTTGGGAGGCAGAGGCAGGCGGATCTCTGTGAGTTTGAGGCCAGCCTGGTCTACAAGAGCTAGTTCCAGGACAGGCTCCAAAACCACAGAGAAACCCTGTCTCGAAAAACCAAAAAAAAAAAAAAAAAAAAAAAAAAAAAAAAAAAAAAAAAAAAAAAAAAAACCTTTATCCAGGGTCCAT